GACAAACCTGGGTTTGAGTTCTGACACTACCGCTTAGTAATTATATGACCTCCCTAAGCCTCAATTTCTTAATCTATAAAATAGGAATACCACTATTTACTCCATGGGTTGTTGTAAGAATTAAATTATGCCTGGCACTTAATTGGTGATCAATAAATATTTATTGAATGAATGTTGTTGAATGATCAGATAAAGCATGAAAAGAGAGTCCTTAGAAAGTGCCCCGTATACAGTGGTGTGCTGGTAAATGTTAACAACCAGTTCTACCCTGCCTTTTTCTCACCACCCTTAAAACTCGAATCCATAGCACTTGCCTATTCCGTGGTGCCAACACTCCCACCGCCACTGATTTCGAACTACCAAAATGACATCACTGAACAAGAAGTTGGGCAGAGATGCACACAAGGGTCTCCTGTGAGCCACAACGAGCCAGCCCAGCATGTATACAACCTTTTATGCTTAGCAATCAATCTGAGCAAATGAGGATTATACGGCAGTTGATGACATGTCTTAAATTATTTCCTCTGAGCTACAACCTTGAGAAAGATATTGACAAACTGTTAATTCAGAAACGGAGAATACCCATTTCAAGGACCAGATCAGCTATCCACTCAATTTTATCTTATCTACAAGGCAACTTATGCTTGTCATCGCAAAGACACAACCCAGTTTCAAAGCTTTGGCAGCAGTATTCTGAAACCATACATTACTCCACGAAGCTATTCCTGTTTCTCTATAAAATGCAATGTGACCCTTATATTCCAGAAAAGGTTGGGGTTGCTTATTTATTGAAAAAAGAGAAAAAGAGATGACTGAAAGAATGACATAAAAAATGTCCATACTTTCAAAGTTTGATGGAAATTATAACACTCTAAACACACGAAAATTCTAGAAATATAATCCATTTGAATTTTAAGAGCTATATATTTTTTGGTAAAGAATTAACAGTATGTAATTCTGTTCTTTCAGGATTTTCTTGAACATCTAAGTTGCTTCTATTTTTTTTCTTTCCACTTTCCTCTTTCATTTCCCCTAACACTCTTCCTTAAGTGACTTTTACATAACATTGAAATATGTTTTATGTTATATTTATCAAATAAAGTTTGATGTCTCATCTTCTGATTTAAATTTTTCCTCTTAAGGATCACCTATCTACATTTTAAGTTAAATAAATTAACAATTCCCCAAGGTTGTCAAATTGGATAAAAATGTCTTTTCTTTTCTTTGAAATTCCTCACGACATCTAATAATAGTGACAGCTGCATTGTAGGATGCTGATAAATTTTATTAAGTAATAAGACAAGAATCAAGTTCACACATCCCACTATTTGGGATGGGCAGGTGGCAATCTTCTGGGTGAACTAAATCTCCTTGTATGCATCTCTGAAACTGTAGCCTTTGCTCCTCCTGTCTGCAGTTTATTCATTTATCAATTGCCTGCTATGTATCAAGTGCCAGCATAAAAAGAATAAGATGCTGTCCTGAAAAAACTAACACCCTTGTCAGGAGACCAGCCGAGTTCCGGAGCTGGCAAATGCTGGTGTGACTCTATAAACTGTGCTTGGGGAGTCCAGAATGGGAAATGATTAATTTTCTCGGAGAAGATAATAGGTGAGCAGGAGAAATAATGTAGGTCTTTCCTGCTTGCCTTCAAACTCTTCTCCCCACTCACAAAGAAACCTGAGTATTTTAGATGAAAACCAAAGCAAGATCCCTGTGAATTTTGTTTGCGTGAATTTTATTGACATTCAATATTGTACCCCACAGATACGTACAATCGATTACGTTTCAATAAATAAATAAATAAAAAGAGGTTTATAGAGAAAAAAGTTGATGTGAATTTTAAATCTAGAGTTTCTGACAACTTTTTTCTTAACCTTACTACAGTATTTTTATTCTATAAATTATCTTTGCCTAATTGGGGGTGGGGATGGGGTCTGAAACATCTCCAGACAATTCCCAAACCTCATTTCATTTTACCTGTATTATCTGATATTTTTTCCACACCAACATTTTTTTAAATGATGCATTTCCCCATGGTTTGAGTTTCATGATTGTTTTCTTCTCTTTTCTTGTCTCTATGGGGGTCCCATGGTATAGTGGGGATCAGAAAGACCTTAACATAGATCTTAGCTCTTATGTTTACGTACTGCTTAGCACAGAGATAGTTAATCTTGCTGAGACTCAGCTCTCTATTCTGTAAAATGGGAATAATAATACCTACCACACAGCTTGTTGTGTGGATTAAGTAAAATAATGGTTATAAAACCACCTAGTACAATGCGTGGCAGAGAGTAAGTGCTCAGTACAACATATAATAATAATGATGCTCCTCATTATGATTGCTCCTCATTATTTTAAAAATAGTAATGCACTAGAATGCCTAAAAAGCTAATATCAGAAGAAAATACTAAGAAACTGAAATAATTCATAAAATTGATCGTCAACTTATGAAAAATAAAGTTGGCATTAATTCTACTAACAAAACACAAAACAATTTGAAAAGGAGAACTGAAGGGAGCAGTCATTTGGTGATCTCTGCTGTTCCAAACATTTTCTCTACAAGAGGAAGACTATGGCAAGGCTGGTCATTTAAATACTGTCCACCAGGGGGTCCCTGTTAGTCTCGTGTCCTTGCTGGCGAGCAGCTGGAACTGACCACTACGAGTGGCCCTGCCTTGCATTCACTTCAAGTGTCACTTTTCGTATCACCCAGTTCTATTGATTCTATCTCCTTATGATTTCCTAAATCCACCCCTAAATCCATCTACTACAGCTTCATGAATGAACCAGCTGCCATCAATACCTCCAATCCAGATTAATTTTTCTGGGAGACTCTTTTCCAAACATAATGCTGAGTAATTTATCTCTCGTTACCTCATTTAACTCCATCTTTATAATTTACAGTATAGTTTGTTGCTTAAGTATACAGTTTTCAGAGTCCGATAACCAAGGTTTACACTCTGGCATTGCCATATACTAGCTGTGTGACTTGGATAAATTTCTTAATTTCTTGAAGCTTCAGTTTCCTAATCTTTAAAATAAGGGAAATAACACTTCCCTCCCTCACAGGAAGGCTGCAGTGACAGAGCCTTTAGCAATGTGGCTTGTATTCAGTGAGCACTCAAAAAATGCTGTTATTTGTCACATAAATGTTCAGAAATGCCTAGGATTCTTATAGTCACCATCTATCTGTCACTGTCAGTGTCAACATTTATAAATTACCCACTCCACAGCAAAATGAACTATAACCTTAAATATCATCTCTTTTGACTGGTATACAATATATAAAGAATTGTACTATTTCTGAGAACTTAAAGCATTCTAGAGCACTGTTTAGGTCTTAGGAAGTGTTAAAAAAAGATGAATCTTGTGTAAAGGACTCTGAGAGTCCACACGTAAAAAATGTTCACAAGACATTAGAGGAGAAATCAAAGAGACTACAAGACCCAAATGAAATGAACCAAACAGCTAGAAAGCTTTGGAAAAGAAGAAGTATATTTGAAATATGGGATGGAAAGAGAAGTCTTAGAACTAACCCAAGGGCTGCAAACTCTAACATCTACATGGCCAGGCAAGGAACATTAATGAGTGAAGCCTGCTGGGTGAAAACCAAAAATAATATCCTATCTAAGGGCCTAGCTCCAACTCCGGCCTATTCTAGCCACATGGCACTGAGAGAACAGGGTAATCTCTCCGACCCCCAAATACAGAAATCTAGATTTTTTTAAATCTGATATTTTAGTGTATTTAGTGTCATGAATTTTAGAAACTATTTAAAACTCTGTGTGAACTAAACAAAACACATGTGAAAGCCCAAGATATATTAAGAACAAATATCTCTTTTATAACAACAGAGTTATTACAAAGACTTGGGTGCCTTTATCACAGATTTGGTCATCAAAAGGGGAAAGCAAAGAGACAGATCTGACATTTCTTGGCCTTCTATTATGTGCCTTACGTTTCAGAATCTCATTTGAGGCTCACAATTTGTTAGGGAGAAAATGCTGTTGTCATTTTCCAGATGAGGGAACTGAACCCAAGGATGGTAGAGAAACTTGCTCTAGGCCTCCCAGCAAGGAAATGGGAGGGCAAGGTAGAATTCATGTTTAGATCTACCCAATTCCAAAACTCCACCACGCTCTGGCGGTCAAGAGAATGCACCCTGCAGACCTGGGGTTAAAGCAAGTGCAATTTTTCAAGCCCCCCCCCCCCCCCCGAAACTTGCTCTAGGCCTCCCAGCAAGGAAATGGGAGGGCAAGGTAGAATTCATGTTTAGATCTACCCAATTCCAAAACTCCACCACGCTCTGGCGGTCAAGAGAATGCACCCTGCAGACCTGGGGTTAAAGCAAGTGCAATTTTTCAACCCCCCCCCCCCCCCGCACTGCACCCCGAACCCTGAGGCCACGCCTCCCACAGCCGCTCCCAGACAAAGGCTGGGCGCAGCCAGTAACTGAAAGACTTGCCCTCTGCTCAAGGACTCCTGCAGGCCTTGCCCAACCTGTCTTGGGTGCTATTTAGATGTAGGGTGCTTCCACCCCGTTTTCTCTCCTTTCCTACACTGGGGTCAGACTTGAATTACAGTCTGAGGGCTCTCCTAGCCTTTCCCAACTCCCTCCCATTGTCTCACAGGTGTTTCCCCTAATAAAACCACGCACATTTACCCATGTAGGTGTCTGCTCCCCAGACGATCCTGACCCTGACTAACATGATCACCAGAAGGCTCCCAGAGGCCCTGAACTTGCCTGGGAAAACCTGACTTGGTCCATCAGAAAACCCTGAATAGACTCACCAGTCTGCAAGGAGAAATGCATGTATCCAGTGATTCTTTCTTTGAAAGGTGGTATATGTCTGTAACCTTGCATATTAATCCCGACATCCCAGGAATATGTTAAACCGGTGTGATGTGACACCACCACCACCACCAACAGCAAACCAGTCAACCAAGAGCAGGTGACAGTCCAGCCCATGGCAATAGCCCCCCGGAGTACCACTCACCTGGTCTCGCTGCTTGATTCGTTTGTAAATATATTCAGCAAATGGTTTGCGAGGAACAAACTTCCCATCTCCTGCTGTGACATTAAAAACTCCAGCTTCATACACCACTTTGCCTCTTGAAATAGTCACAAGGGGCACCCCATGGCAAATCATGCCCTCAAAGATGTTGAAATTAACAGCCTGATGATGAGTTTTTGCTGAGATAGTCCTGTGTTTGTAAAAACAAAAAAAGCTCCAGATCATCACCAGCTCATCTGATGGACATAAAATATTAAAAGAAGAATGACTTAGAGGAAAATTTAGCAACTCTATTAAGCTATAGCTTCATCACTGTAACAAGTGACTTTAGGAATAGAACATAGCATTAACATTTCATTAGAAAGTGATTACATTTTTTGAGAGAAAAACCCAAGAGATCACTCTTCAAGGTGATTAATAAGAATGGAGTGGTGGGGAGAGGGCATTGTCTGTCATGCTTAGATTTTCAGATTTTTTTTTTAATCTGTGTGCTAAAGAAAAACATATTTTTTTCATTTCTTAATTATGAAGCATTTTTAACACAGATGAATCTCATGAACACACTGACCAGATACCCAGCTCTACAGGATTTTAACTTTTTATAGATGCAGCTGAGGCTTCCACAATACCCCTCCCCAAATTCCACTTCCATCCCTGCCTTTCCAGAGGTAATTGCTATTTGACAGTTATCAAACCAAATTTGGTAGTTATCAAGGAAATACATACATTGAATTTCTTTCCCTTGTCTGTGGCAAAACTGGAAATTTGAGGATAATAGAAGTAACCAAATGTGTTAGAACATTCTTTTAGCATATTCTATGTCACACATTTGCATATCCATCTATTCATCATCACTCTCAGTAGTTTATTAATACGTTTCAATCTTACACAATGTGACTGATGACCTCCAGGCAGGGTATTTGGAAATGCTGGGTGCCTCCTTTTCTTAAATCTCATTAGATGGAAAGGAAAAAACAAAACAAATCAAAAAACAAAAACAAAAACCCTGGCAGAAGTGAATAATACGAGCACAGTCTGAATTCTGGTAGAAGTTTCTACAATCCTTCTCAGAAATGAATTCAAGAGAAGTTCTCCGCTAAAATCTGAGTCTAAGAAGAGCAACCCAAAGCTGCCCCAACCCTAAACTGCTAGGGCTGAGCTAGGATGCCCTCACCATGTGTGCTGCAGGCCTAGAGATGCACGGGGTAACGCTGGCCTGGTCCTCGCTTCCAGGCTCCCATCCACTGCTTACCTGGCTTCCAGTCCTAACATGCCCAAACAGAATTGTTGACTTTCAGCGCTTACCACAACCTACCCACTCGAGTTTGCTCCTCGCTTCAGCTTCCCACTATATGAGACCACCATCTACCTCTCCTCACCCCGCAAACCATCATCAAGCCTGTTGGTTCTCCTTCCCTCCCCAACAAGTCCCAAATCCGCCTCTCCACTGCCCCCATAGTGTCTGCAGCACCATCGCCTCTCATCTGGACCATCCCAACACCCCTCAGCGGCCTCTTTCTTTCTGTTCTTACTACCCTATACTCCATACCGCTCTCCACAAAGCTGCTCAAATGATCGTTTAAAAATGAAAATCATCACCCCTAAGAGGTCTGAGAAAAAAAAGAAAAAGAAAGGAAAAAGAAAAGAAGAAAAGGAAAATCAGATCATGTCACTTTCCTGATTAAAACACTCAATGGCTCCAGTCTGTTCCCCGAGAGCCAAATAACTGTTTAAAAAAAAATAATAATTTCTTAAAAAGCATGGGATGATGATAATAATAAAGCATCTGCTCCCATTGAAAAACATCCACCTTGGAAAAGAAAAAAAGGAACATCCAGTATGTCAGGTAGATAGTTTATCACATTGTATTTCATGTTTACGACACCTCTTCAAAGAAGAGAGTATTTTCCACATTTCACAGGTAAATAAATTGAGATTTAGAGAGGATAAATAATGTCAAAGAATATATGAATAGTTTGATGCAACTGGGATCTTTTTATATTTTTAAAATTTACAATAAAAATGACTTTTGGTGTACAGTTCTATGAATTTTGATACATATATAGATTTGTGTTACTATCAAAACAATTAGGACACAGAATGGTCCCATCCCCTAAAACTCACACTATCTCTGTGTAGTTACTCCCCACTCCTAACTCCTGGCAGCCACTGATCTGTTCTCCATCACTATAGTTTTCTCTTTTCAAGAATGTCATATAAATGGAATCGTAGAGTGTGTAACCTTTTGAGACTGACTTCTTTCATTCTGCATAATTCCACTGAGATTCATCCAAGTTGTTGTACATATCAATACTTTGTTCCTTTTCGTTGCTGATAATATTCCTCTGTATGGACACAGCAGTGTGTTACCCATTTATTCCCTGAAGAACATCTGAGTTGTTTCCAGTTTTTGATGATTAGGAATAGAGCTGTTATAAACATTCAGACACATGCTTTGCATGAACACTTCTCTAGTGTAAATGCCCAGGAGTGAAGCTGCTGGGGTGTATGGTAAGTGTATGCTGCAACAAAAAGTGCTTTTGGTAACCTTAGGAAACAATTTACTGACATAAGGAAAAGTGTAAAAGATCACTGATGAGTAGGAGGCGGGTATGAATACAACAATAATTGCAAACACTGAGGAAGAGGGAAGCATATTGTTCAAGTGGTGAGTTACCAAAGTAGGAAAAGTAGGAAAATATTTACAAGGATACTAAATATAAAATGAGTTACGAATTATGAGTTGGTGATGAAAGATACAAACTTAAATAAAATAAATCTAGATAATAATGTAGAGGGCTTCAGAACTTCAGGTTAAAGTGACTTTAAAAAAAATTTTTTTAATTGAAACATAATTGATTATATATATTTGCAGAGTACAGAGTTGACTATTAGTATTTGTGTATATTATGTGATGATCAAATCAGGATTGTTAGAATATTCATCATTACAAAATGTACTCATTTGGGTTACAGTAACTTTTTATGGCCACCACAATCCTTCTGCCAAATATTTTCACAGCCTGGGCTGCTGCTTTCCAACACATCACAGTTACACTGATGGCAGAAACTGTTGGACTTGTATTGTAGAATGCTCCATAAAGATGCCTGGACTGATGCATTAGTAAAGCTGTTATATGAAGAAAGTAAAAATACATTAAAAATTCATGGTGAAATGGTTAAAAAGTACAAGAATGAAAAAAGAGAAAACCTTAAGTTAAGAGTTATTAGAGCGATTAGGAAAATAACAAGAAATAAATATGCTCTATACAAAAAGATTATCAGTACAATAGTGCCTAAACTATTAAAAAACTGAAGCATAACATTTTCCCAATGATCATTTAATGGACTATTATGCATTTGTTAAAGATTAGAATTAAGAATACTCTAAGGAAGCAAAAAACCTAATAATTATGTAATATTAAATGGAAAAAACACCCTATAGAGAGTATGTACAGTATGTCTACAAGGAAAATAAATATGCACATGGGTAAATACAAAAGGAAATATACAGAGTGAAGTTTTTTGTGGGCTAGGAAAACGGAATATGAAGGATTCAAAGTATCTTCAGAGTTCTTGTTATACTGTTTCTATGACTTAAGTTATGATCTTAAAGTGAGGTTGATACAGCACAATATCAAATCAGATTTCTCTACCTCATGCCAAATAAAGGTCATTACCTTCACTTTCTCAGCCTTGGGGTTAGCAAGAGAAAGAGGACAATTAGACAACATCTAAGAGATTCTTTATAATAAGGCATTATGTAAATGAAGTCAAATTAACATGAAATGTAAATTCTAGGCATTATCATCAGCAGCAAAAAGAATGTGCTTCCATTTTCACATTGGAAGGTGTCGATGTCTGACAGGGTGTCGTTCCTCACCCAGCCAAAGCTGTAATTCAATTCTGAGTAGCTTTCACACTTCTGAGTCTTTGTGCATGCTGTTCTCTTCACCCCAAATGCCCTCCTCACTTCTGCTCCTCTCCCTTCCCTAAAATTCAGCTGGTCCCTAAAATTCCTGGTCCCTAAAAGCCAACTCTTGCAACCCGGGGTGACACTGAGCATTTTTCCTCTGAGAAATTTCCACTGAGCATTATCCAAGTATATTGTAATGATCTCTTGACAAGTCTCTCTTTTCCTATTTGGTGCACTCTTTAAGGCAAAGACCAAGTTGTTTTATCCTCAGCGCACAGTAGGTGCTTTATAAATATTTATGAAATGATCGAATAAAAGGATCACATCATTTTCCTCCTGTTTAGTAAGGTTGATCTTATTTCTTGTCTCTGCTTCCTTTTGGGACATGACTGTGTTTTGGAAACAGAACATTGAATTAAATGGGAGGTAAACATCCAGTCCAGACATTTGTTGTACCTAACATTTCTGGTGAGCTGTACATGTTAATTAGTAATAAATAAATAAGTAAAATTGTTGTAATTATCATTCTTAGTTGCATCTTATCAACTTACATGAAACACTTGTTTGTCCATACCTAGCAATACTCAACAATACCAGTATTATCATCCATAATAAGCATGCAGCTAAGTATTATTACCCCACTTCCCATGATAATGCTGAAATAGAGCTGTTTATGAGCTTGCCCAAGGTTCACATAGTTCAATATTAAGTGAACTTCCAAGAGGTAGGAACCACATTCACCTTTTGAGAATACTGTCAAAGTTGTAAATCTGCAACAGAAGGTTAAAAAAGTTGTGGTACATCTTCAATATCTAATTAATAGACAGTTTTTAACACAAAAATACAAAGCAATATAATCATATGATTTATAAAGTTATTACAAAATGTTATTTAAAGTCTATTCATTCACAGTGCAGTATGGGAGATGTGTTCCAAAGTCATATTCTGTTGTTGAAGGTGTCACCAAGGAAACGCAGTCACTCAGAGAGATAGAGAATCAGATGATTTATTATGCCAGCAGGCCTCAGGGGAACTAGTTTTCCAAAATCCTGAGCCCAGAATGCAGGGGGAACCAAATACTTTTCTTGAGGAAAGCAAGCAAGTGTTTCTATTGGCTCTTTTGCTTGTATCCAGGCAGAGTCCCCTAAATTGGGGGTCTTTAACAGGTGGGCAAAATTGGGTTACTGTGGTTATGCAGAAAGGGGCTTTGGGTAAGAGTCTTCACAGAGATGGGGGATATGGTTGGGGGGGGTTACTGCAATGCCACCTAGAAAG